CCGGGGCAAGCCATCACTGCTCTATCACCTTGGCCACTCGTCGTACGCGCACTTCGAGCACACTGGGAGTCTCGAGGATCTGGGACAAGCTATCTCGTGGTATCGTTGTGCCATTGAGAGCGCCTTGGATGGTGATGACGACGTATCATCTATCTATGAAAGCCTTGGGCGCTCTTCTCTTGTTCGTTATAGCCATACGAAGGACCCCGAGGACCTCTCACTAGCCATCTCAGCATACTCTGACGCGGTCAGCCTCATACCTGACAGTCAACTAGAGAAGATCTCGTGGTCCCACATCCTCGGCGATTTGCTTCTCACGCGCTTCCAAAACGTCGGGGCGGCAGAAGATCTCGATCATGCTGTTGCAATGCATCTTCGCGCGGTCGAAGAGACGCCAAATGACGTAGCTGAAGCATCGTGGCAGTTCAAACTAGGAAGCGCGTTCTTTGTTCGATACGTGCATACCGACAACGTTCAGAGCCTAGAGCAGGCTATCTCGGCGTTGCGCAACGCAGCTCAGCTTACACCCGATGGTCATCCTGATCAGGCGTCGCGCTATAACGCCTTGGGCATTCAACTTGCCACACGACACGAGCACATGGACGACTTTGAGGATCTCGACCAGAGCATCTCAGCTTTTCGCCGTGCCGCCGAGCTCTCGTCCGATGATAAGCGGCATGGGCCTCTACGCTCCCTGTGTAGGGTGCTCACTTCACGTTGCAAACGTAGCGGTGATATCAACGACATCGAGGAGGCCATCTCGGCGCACGACCGCGCGGTTCAACTAGGAGCGAACAAGGATGCCCCTGAGCCCTCCGCATTAGACGACCTGGCATTTGTGCTCATGCTTCGCTTCAATCATACGCACGAACCCGAATGCATTCAACGTGCGATCTCCTCGCAACGTCTTGCAATTGAGCTCACAAGAGACGTGCATCCCTTCAAACCAATGTATCTCAGTAACCTGGGCCTTTTACTCTCCACGCGTTTCAATCACAGCCACGAGAGAGAGGACATTGAGCAGGCTATCTCCGCTCATACCAGCTCCGTTGGACTCCTCGCAGATAACGTGCCCGGCAAATCAGCATGTCTTCACTATCTAGGCGATGCACTCTTTCAACTCTTCGAGCAGTGTGGGGAAGCAGACGCCTTAGAGACGGCGATTTCTTCATACGAACGCGCAGTCACACTTGCTCCGGACGAGCACCCCGACTCAGCGGTATACTCCAGTAACTTGCGCAAGGCGCTGCTCGTACGCCTCGAGCAAAGCGCCGACGAGCCTGGTCACCTTGATCGTGCTATTGCGGCGTGTCGTCTCGCAGGCAACCCGACTTCAACAGACCGATCCGGCGAAGCCTCGCGACTGAGGGACTTGGGTGTACTGCTTTCGAAGCGCTTCGGGCGACTAGGAGCTCTCGAGGACCTCGAACAAGGTATCTCTGCTCTTCGCCAGGCATCGGACCTCACGCCGGACGATGATCACAACAAACCAGAACGCGTCAACGACCTGGGGACTGCGCTGTTTACGCGCTATGAACGTACAGGACTCACTCTGCATCTTGAAGAGGCTATATCCGTACTGCGCTCGTCAGTAGGACTTGCGTTGGATGGGCGCACTGACAAGCCATTACTGTGGGGCAATCTCGGTAATGCTCTGCGCGCACGCTTCGAGCTCGTGGGAGAACTCGATGATCTCGAGGAGGCCGTCACTTTACATCGTCACGCGGACGAGTTGACGCCGGAGAACCATCCTAGCAAGGCACATTACTCGACTGATCTGGGCAGCTCACTCCTCACGCGCTATGCTCGCACGGGAGAGCTCATGGATCTCGAAGAGGCCATTGCCGCACATCGTCGGGGTGTCAAGCTAGCGCCTCGTAGTCATATTCACCGATCAGCGTGGATAAGCAACCTGGGTACCTCGTTGTACAGGCGCTTCGAACGAAACCAAGAACTCGACGACCTAGAACAGGCCATCTCTGCTCATCGGCAAGCAGTCGAACTCACTCCAGACGACCATCCCGCTATGGCGTCACGGCTACATAACCTGGGATCCGCCATGTCATCGCGCTCTGAACGTCTGAACAGTGTTCAGAATCTGGAAGAAGCCATATCCATTTTTCGTCGCGTGGTAGAGTTGACGCCGGATGATCATCCGCGAAAGCCCATAAGACTGATCAACATCTGTCAAGAGCTTCGCCGTCGATTCGATCATAGCCATGAGGTGTCCGATATCGAGGACGCCCTCTCTGCTGGACATATGGCTATCGACTTGAGCTCTAAGGGCGCGCTGAGCTTAGAGTTGTCTGTGTGTTACGGGATCGTTGGGCTCTGCTTCGAGAGCCGCTTCGGGCTTGCGCGTTCGGAAGAAGATATTAGAGCAGCGGTCTCATCGTTGAATAAGGCTTTGGAGCTGATTCCTGACGGCCATCCGCGAATGTCAACGATTCTGAACAACCTGGGCACTGCACAAAGCAAGCTATACGAGCATACTCTGACCGTAATTGACTTCAAAGCAGCCGTCGAGACCTTCTTGCGAGCAACGTCACACC